CTGGTCTAGTGGAAGGTGTCCTTGCTGATGGCAGGGGGGTTGGAACTGGATGATCTTTAAGGTCCCTTCCAATCCAAACCAGTCTATGATTCTAAACAAACACTGAACAAACACTGTCCAAGTACTTTCCAACAGTATCACTGTGATCTTTTTAACTTCTTGAAAAAAGCAAACCAAACATACCTTGATTTGGACCAGGAAATCCCTTAGGTGTTCCTTGAAGGCAGGAATATCCTGGTTTAAACTGAAGAGTCCTGTTACAAACAGTTTAACCTGGGCACTAACAGGAAACACAGAAGTTAGTATTTCATGACATAAGAAACCAGTTACAAGTACTAAAGAGTCACAGCACACTTACTCTTGCAGGTGAGGAAACGCAGATTTAAGGAGATTAGCAACATACTCCTGAATAAACATTTGGTTGTTCACTGGATTTCCAGGGTTTAACGGAGTACTTATTTTTCCCTCTTCTACTAAGTTGAACATGTATGCAAGGATTGATGCATGCATTGTCAAACCTGAACAGACCAAAGTTATACATATGCAGTTATTATTCAGAACAGGATGTGTAATAGTGTTTTGATGTTCAAAAGATTGTTTTCATCACCAGTTCATATACATGCATTCTTACCAGCAGTGTGTGAGGTGTCTGTTACAACTGAGAAAATGTGCTGAAGGATATCACAGAAGTATGTCTGATAGAAACTCTGGGCAGCAGTCTCTTCTTGTGCAACATTCTGTAGTAGAGTATAAAGTATCTGAAGTCCTGTAAAATATGCATTAAAAAACTAAGTTACCAACACAACAATAATAAAACCTCTGTGCCTTTTCCAAAACGACACAACTATCCCAAGGAGTTCTGATAGGCACCAAAGAGATGAGTAGAGTATTTTGTGTGCAATAATTTTTCTCAGGCATTTCCTCAAGTAGCCACTAGAGGACAACAGCCGTATTTACATGGCATGCCAATTTTATTTGCATTATTAGGTGACAGAAGCATAAAGAAACAATCACATTACGTTATTGGTACTAGCAAAAGTGAGAGAAAGCCTCTGCTAAAACAAGTGTTTCTAATTTAAGAAGGGAAAATGTTTTAATTTTTAGAAGTATATGAAAACATAATAAATGAAAACCTTACTAAGTGAAATGCAACTGAAAGTTATCTTTTATCCCCATCCCTTCCAAACATTGATACAAGACAACTGCCTACACACTAAGTGGCTTCACAACAATCTTTCTGTTCAGTAGCTGAGATAGTGCACTAAGCCCGAGACATTAAAAAACAATGGTTTTGGAATTTAAGACTCTTTTTATAGCCTCTCCTTGTATCTTTGATAACCCTCATTCTGGAGAGCTTTTTAATTAGTCAAGTTCGTTAAATGAGTTGATACACTCAGATGCTCAATGAAATTTCATCCTAAATTTAAACAGCTTGCTGTTGTCCAAAGGAAGCATAACTGGCTTCTTAACAACCTAAGGTGTTTCCCTATGTCATGGGCTTGCTCCCAGACCGTGAGTTCAGCCCCAAACAATTCACTTTTCTGCTGAACTTTTCAGTAGTTACTAAGCAACTGTCTTACTGAGGTACGAAGTCGAACACTGCAGGCAGCACAACAAAAGTAGAGCTGTAACACCAGTTTTAGCAGCAGTGAGCTGTTGCATCAGTTCAGCCATTTCAGAAAGGTGCCAACCCTCACGTGGAAAAGCAAGCAAGCAGAAACCATGACAGCTCTCTAACAGCTGTGGGAATGAAACAGCATCTAAGTGTTTCAGCCCATTAATGCAAACCTGGATGACAGCCTGAAGCTGAGACAGAAGAATATTATTCTTCTGCAAACGCAGCACAGAATCCTGTAACTGGAATACTAAGTTTGAATGAAGAAAAGAGATGCAAGAAAACAACAATCTACCAAAAAAAATCTGATACCACAAACTAAGTCTGCATATTAAACACTTCCATTTACCTGTATCTGCAACATTTCTCATTGTATGTTTGAAAGCCCAAATAATAGAATCCAGAACAAGTTTGAACTGTGCAGGTGGAATGGCCAGGAATGCTGGGAAGCAGTGAGAATTTACAGCCTGGAGTAGCAAGAAGAAGTTTGTTCTATGTTCAGGATATTCTTCAAAGTCCTAGAAAGAGAAGGGGAAGAAGAAGAAAAAAAAAAGTCAAGTTTTCTGAAGATCCATCATAAGATCTTCTGTTAAGCAGAGTGGGTCAATAGCTGACATGGATCAGCATTTAGACCTCAGGTTTAAAATAACCTTACATGCAAAGCAAAGGTTACACTTCACGGTGAAGTTTTCCCCCTAGTTTTCCCCACCAAAGCTTGGTAAGACCATCTTCCAGAGTTACACAACACTGATGGGCTGAGCCACGTTTTGTAAGTACATAACTTTAATTGCTACTGAGTCCACAGATAAACTGACAGATGGTCTCAACACTGGTGAAACACCTATGTTGCTACAAGGGTACAATTGCTGGTTATATCCTATTACATCAGTAATAGGATATAACTGAATCAGTAGCACTGATTCAGCTGGTATTGCTCAACTATTATACAAATACATATTGCACACTACAGCCTAAGAACTGCATTAGTAAGGAAATACTAAAAATGGCTGATCAGTACTTATATTCATAAATTTTAAATATTTATGAATTTTAGTAGTTAGCATGCTTCCAGAAGCATGACATTCCAAGTCTCTAGAACAGAAAAGTTACTTAAATCAAGAGCTAAACAGGGAAATTTTTAAGGCACTGAGATTAAGACATCCAGCTAGGCAGCCAGACTTCAAAACAAGTATGTTCATTTGAGCAGAAATTTCTTCCAAGTGCCACAAATACACTTTGTGATGGCAAAAAAACAGGGAGACGATCCACAAGACACCACATATGGAAATCATATTAACAGAAAGAAGGCATGAACCCTTGCTTACTTTCCAGAAGATGAAAGCTGTGTAATAACTCTACGTTCATTAAATACCACCTCCCTTCACTGCAAGAATGTCTTTCACTTAGAGATGTACCAAGAGCCAGGATCAGCACTCTTATAAACCCCCCCCCCTTTTTTTTTTGTCTTCAGTCACTAGGAAGACACCTTATCCAAAGTTTAAATATAAATACCTTGTTGATCATATTTAACGTGCACTCAAAAACAGCATCAAATATCTGAGGTATTTCAGCAGTAATGTGTCCACCCAGCTTGTTTACAATGATAGCCATAGTACTAAGTACTTCAGGTTCTCTAGCAGCTGGAACATTTCTCTGGTAGTCAATGAGAACTGCATCCAACAAGGGAGGAACAAAGTTTTCAGCTACCTAATTGAAAGAGTAAGCCATGGTTAGTACAATACAGTTATTGAACAAAGTCTCTAGCACACAGTTGATAGTGAAGTTCATTGTTTAGTTACCAGAGATACTTTTCCTAAGGAAGTTGAAATATTTTACCCTTCCATAAACTCCCCACCCTCAGTATCCATCCAGCATGGCTTCCAGTAGGGCTCTCAAACTTCCTGGATTCTCTTTAGGATTACTCTCAGCTAAAATTAACTGAAGTATCTCAGATGTAGCTCAGGCTCATCTCTGTATGATCATACTTTTCTCCTTTGTATTTTACACGCCTCCTAAAGCAAGTTCCTGTGACTAAGTAATTCAGTCAACAGCAGAGCAAAAACAACCAACCAAAAAAACCCCAGACTTCTTAATTCTGTCTTACAAGTTATTTGTGTAAAATAAATCTACTTACCATCTGAGGATCGCTGGACCTGCTCACCCAGCCAGAAATTAGTTTCAAAGTTTCCCTTTTTACAGTCCTCATACTTCTAATCAAGGGCTGCTTTGTTACCATTTCACCTAAAAAAAGTTTTAAATCCAGTTAATCAGGTAAGGTGTAACAAAAAGATTAAGTTAAATTGATATAGCAAAACAGAGAATGCTTGATTTTTATATCGGAACTACAAAGACCATTAAAGACTCCTTACGCATACTGTGCAAATAAAAAACTACCTCCCCATTCTAGCTCCATAGGTCCAAGCTGCCATTTAGTGTTACAAAACTACTACTGACAGTACCCTGCTTACAGAGTTCAAAAGCAAAGCTTAACTTACTTTTCAAGAAAAGGAAATCACACATATTCACTTAACTACCTGGACTGAGCTTACATCTGGTTCTCATGAAGTGATGGGGGGGAGAACAAGAAAGTGCCTAATTTCATCCAAGAGAAATAATCCTTCCACTTGTCTCTGTGTGTGTAAGTCCACACTTATCCTTAAGAAGGTTTATCCTTAGTTCAGTTTCTTACCGCAAGTCAATGTAGTCTCATCAGCAAAACATGATCTAATTAAGCTGCACAGCCATACAACCATTACAGTACATGCACAGGAAAACCTGAAGAGCACGGCCAGGGAAAAAAAAGATCGCTGGTGCTGGCATCTCGCGCAAGGCAAAGCCAGTGTGAAAACGTGCTCTGAGGCAACCGCTATCACCGTAGCTGCTGATCAAGTAGCACGTCAGGACTACAGTCCTAGCAACTGCCTCCTCAACTTCACCATGTCTGACAAGGACAAATCCCAGCCATTAGAGCTGCAAAATCAAAAGGTATTGATTTTGCAGCCAGTTTTATTTTGAATTGTGAGAAGCTATTTCAAGGTCAAGCAGCTACATTCATGTTTCCAAATACCATCATCCGCACTGGCAAAAAAAACTGGTCATTACACAGAATCCAGTAACTGACTCACTTAATCTTGTCATGAACTATGACAGAAGCACATTCTGAGATACCACAGGCTGTAATTTATCTGGTAAAGACAGGTTTGGTAATTGATAATTCCTTCTCAATGACTACAGGCCTGGTTTATCATCACTTTGGGGCATCTTCACCACAGTTACAAGTCTATAATAAAGTAGTAGCACGGTATCATACCAAAACCCCGACAACATCTTCTGAGAAAGTGAGTGACATTCTATTTAAAAATACTCTTTTCATATTCAAAATTAGAGTAAGCTAAAAGAACGCATGCTGAAAATTAGAAGGCATCTTGCTGAGACAAAGTTGAAGTAAGCATCCGCGGTGTGTTGCATCTTTCCTAAACTTTCTCATTTATAGGCATTTTTTCCTCCCTCTAAAATCAGGAGTTCTTCATTTGAATAAAATATCTGATTAACAAAAAAAAAATCTAAGCAAGCACTTTGAGTCACCCTCCATTCTCCCAAACAATAAAATTAATACAGTAAAATTAGCCTACTTGGAATGTTCTTTGAAACCTGGTAACATACACTCTTAAGCCCCATTTTCAGGAAGAAGATGGAATTTCTTACCATTAGCCTGAATTGCTGCAGAAATATTTTCACTTAGGCACTTGTACACATTCAGCATATCTAAATAAATTCTTCCAAGCTGAATCACAAAGGGGTGGCCAACTGCTTTACATGCTCTTACATTGGTTTTCAGAATGCTACCAAGCTGCTTAACTGTTTCAGGATCCTTTAGAATATCAACATTCTGTTGAAAAAAGATTTTGTTTAGTGAATAAAAGTGGCCTTTAGTTTTCAATATAAAAGTGTAATTTTAATTATTTTATCTTACACGCTGTTAAAAGAAAATATCACTGAAATTTACAGGCTTTATATATACTGCTGTTTACTTCATGGCACTTGCTGCTACCTCAAACAGAGTCAGGACAAAGCTTCAGTTGACTTAATTCTGCTGTTCTGCATAAGTATTTTTGCTGCACTGGTACAATCATTATTGTATTGTTTCCCGGGGGAAAAAAGGGGGGGAAAAAAGGGGGGGAAAA